ACGAGTTGGGCTACAGACTCGTCGAGTATCCCTTAAGAAAATGAAAATTACTTTATTTAAATCACATACCAGAAATGGGGCGTTACATAATGACAATATCTTTAACCCTCATTTAGATTGTTTTTCTTAACAATCGACCGATTTTAATTTCGGTTTCTGAGTCGTATACGGTTACGCTAAAATATTTGGTAAATCATAACTTCTCCTTTATGAGTCAGATTTGAGCGTTCTTTACATGCACGCTCTCGGTTTTATGATTACTATGAATTTCGTTTAGATTACTTAGGCTGATAAACAATCTATCTCCGATTCGCTATTTACAATGCACGTAGCCGTGTCGGTTAAATCACAAAAATTCGAAGAAGCATAACTTCTTCATAGGAAGTCGAATTTATGCGTTCTTTATATGTAAGGGATCCTTGTAGGGGCGGAGCCATGATTTTTAACGAGGGGGCATACATCACAATAATATATTAAAGTGTTTTTTATTTTCGAATACTATGATAAAGTTTTTAGTTTTGAAAAAAAAAACGACGAGAAAAATAATCTATAAAAAAAATACAACGTTTTTTTTATTATTTCATCTATAACCACATATTTTTTAAATAAGGCGTGAATCTAAAAGAATTATGATTGATATATATATATATATATATATATATATATATATATATATATATATATATATATGAATTATGTATTTGTATTGTGGTAGTGGAAAGTATGTGTTGGAAGTTATAGAAACATAACATAACAAATTTATACTGCAAGAAGAAAATATAAAAAGACTAATTATGTAAATTTGACTAAATAGAATAAAAACTCTAATTCATGAGATTTGCTCTCAAATGATTTAGTCAACTATTGTGGGCTTATTAAAAACATAATAGGATAGAGGATTAGGGGGGCTGAGCAATGGGTAGCCCCGGTACTCCGATCCTTGTCACTTATATTATAAACTAGTCCAATCCTCGCGCGTTGCGCGTGAATATAATTATTTAATTAAAATAATAACATTTAACAATTTGTGATTTAATATTTATACATGTAAAACCAATGTCAATAGCAAAACAATCTCTATAGTTAACATAATAGTTTTATTAATTTTAATAAATTTATATCATTCGTTATTTCCACTATTAATTCATGATTTTATAGACCGTTTTATGTTGTGTAAATTATATATCAAATATATATTGATTTCTATGTATAAAAAAAATAAAGTAGTATAAAAAAATAAATACTACAACTTTTGATAATTTTATAGAACGTTTTAAGTTGTGAAAATTATATATAAAACGTATGTCGATTTGTATATAAAACAAATAATAAATAGTATGAAAAACACTATAGCTTTTAATAAAATAAAACACTACAACATTATAACATTTACATCAAACAAAACTTATTAAACACTTATAAATCATTCAAAATGAATATTTAGAAATCAACATACATTTGATATATAGAAACAATGTTATAAATAATTTGTGTTGAAATAACCATTGATGCAACAAAACTTTTTTTTTTCAACTCTTTCATTTTGAATCACAAATCTTTTCAAACATATGATTTTTTAATAAAAATTTACTTATATACTACTACTATAGCTACATTGTGTATAATAAATAAGTGGAAAATAAAAAAGCATTGCACTTTAATAACCATAAATTTAAAAAACTTTTGAATGTAATTGAAAATATAAAGGAAAAGTACATTAAATTTGAAATCATAATTACATTTAAATAAATAAAAAAACTATTGAGTTGTAGTGAGAGTTTTAAACTCTTGATTTGTGCCTAATAATGTAATATAAATATTAACAATTATATGTTATAAAAACAATATTATAAGTATTTATCATTCAAATAATAATTTTTATACTAAGTTGTAACTAATATTATAATAATTTTAAGTATACGATAAAAAGATATAAAAAATTGTGTTTGAATCAAATTGAATTAAGTTTTTGATTTAAAATTATTTTAAACTATATGTATTTTTAACTAATTTATAAATAATTTATTTGAATATTTTTTATTTACTATATTATTATTATTATTATTATTATATTATTATTATTATTATTTATTTCAAATAACAATAATTTTTAATATATTATAATCTATTATATAGTTTTACGTTATTTTAAACAATTATTACTTTTTACTAATTAAAAACTATTTATTTTAAATTTTTTATTATTATATTTAAAAAAAAAAACTATCATATTTTTTTATTGTATTTTCATTTTTTTCCTTAAAGCTATGAAATATTGAAAGACAATGAACGGTCAAAATAAAATGGTGATTTCAATTTCAAAACTATAGTAATTGTTATGTACTGCGACCAATCTTAAGAAAAATATGTTAAGAGTGGGTTAGGGGAGGAGGAGTGTTACACTTGAGGTATATTTTTATCACTTATATTTTCTTATGAAAATATTAATATTTTATTTATTTTACTTTTCCTTTACGATAAAGAACGAATAGGAAAAAAGGAAATTGACAAATTTAATAAGATAATTTATTTTTATTACTATAACAACATTTAAAATTTGGTACATCCATATAAGTTTTGGTCTGAATATAAAGAATTCATTTTTATAACACACATGATTAAAACTACTTATTTGAAAATTTTCATTATTATATTTAAAAAAAAAATATCATATTTTTTATTGTACTTTCATTTTTTTTCCTTAAAGCTATGAAATATTGGAAGAGAATGGACGGTCAAAATAAAATGGTGATTTCAATTTTCAAAACTGTAGTAATTGTTATGTATTGCGACCAATCTTAAAAAATATATATATGTTAAGAGTGGGTTAGGGGAGGATGGGTGTTGCACTTGAGGTATATTTTTATCACTTATATTTTCTTATGAAAATATTAATATTTTATTTATTTTACTTTTCCTTTACGATAAAAAACGAATAGGAAAAAAGAAAATTGACAAATGTAATAAGATAATTTATTTTTATTACTATAAAAACATTTAAACTTTGATACATCCATATAAGTTTTGGTAGAATATAAAGAATTCATTTTATAACACACATAATTATTGGTTTTCAACAATAAAGGCATATCATATTAAAAATCATTCATTCTAATTTGTCATTATCACCAACAATTTGGAATACAATTGTAAACTCATTTCATCAAAATCAATTATAAAAAACTCCATCAATGTTATCTATCTCCCCAACAGCTTCAACCTATCTTACTATGATGTTGTTCTTTGAAGGTAAGAATAGATTAGGACAGGTGGAATGGATTCCAGCAGTAGGATGTTAGGCATCAGGGTGTGCTATCTTAGAGAGGGCCTTTCTAACATCCCGAGTTAGCCCTATTTATAACAAAATAAGCAATAGAAACTAACATATTATATACATAGGATAAAATACATGTTGAATAATGTTCTCTTGTACATAAAATATATTTTTTTAACATAAAAAAGAGAGAGACAACATAAAGATATATACATGTTAACAAAGTTAATTTCTCTAACTGATAAATAGCTTGATGGTTGATTAACCAAAAGCTCGTGAGAAGTAATTATCTAAATAGCTTGATGGTTGATTAACATACCTAAATTTGAACATTGGTTAATATCTAAAACTTTAAATGCACCCAATTTGAGTTTACATGAATTTATATTTGGAAAAGTTGCAATTGTTTTCTTACATCTATGGAACCACTCACATAACTCTTCAAACCCTACAAATATAATTTATCATTTTGTGTTGACATACATGCAATATGTAATCTACAAATTTCTTATATATGCTAAATATTTCATTTAACTCATCAATTAAATAGCAAGATTTGAAGAGTTTTTAGAGTTACAAATCATAATATTCCAATTAATCATAAATTAATTTGTATAAGTTGAATGGTCTTGGGAGTTTTAAATGCATGAGATTCAAGGAAAAATGCTAGCTTTATAAGATATATAAATTTGGTTAAAAGTATTTATCTTAAATAATATTCTATCAGAAAGTCAATTTTAACACTTATAATATTCAATTTGACTAGCTCAAATCTACGAGTGTTACAATATATATATATATATATATATATATATATATATATATATATATATATATATATATATATATATAAAATAAGGATTTTAAAAAAATAACCTTCTTTAATTATGTATGATTTCATTGTCTAATTATTTGCACACCACTTTAGCCTTTAGACCTTACGGAGTGGCTCGACATGACATGGTTTTATCCCCTTGTTAACAAGAACTTGTCGTTTATACGAAAAATTTAACTGAATTAGAGCCCAATAATATTGGAGAAAATTCATGAAATAACCAAAAGTTAAGGGGTGTTTTAAGAAATTAACCATGAAATTTTGAGTTTTGAAAAATGATCACGAAATCCTGCAGAGAGGGCTCCGGAGTACTGTGCATCGTTCCTCAGAGGATTAAAGGGATCCGCAGAGCTCTCTGCGGATCCCCTTCTGCAGATCTCGTGGTCATTTTCCAAAACTCAAAATTTCATGGTTATTTCCTTAAAACACCCTCTAACTTTTGCTTATTTCATGAATTTTCTCACAAATGGCATGACCACTCCACAAGTCTTACAACCGAAGTTTGCATGCCAATGAATCTTGTGAAAACTTATGAATCTTTTTACACAAAAAGCAAGAATAAAATATTTATTATAATTAAACAAAATCATATGATTATTTCAAAAGAATTGTTAGTAATTAACCCTTGTCAAAAACCAATTAGTAACAATTATTACCCATTTGATTATTAACTTGTATGAATAATACATTTTCCTCAAAGACATAGACCACTCTAGGGTTCAACGAAGAACCATATATTGATGTGGAAAGTAAACGGATTGATTCCGTCATTGCATTCCCTCCGCACCCTCTTGATTCTTGATTGCAACGTGCAAACAACAAATTAATTCAAAGACTTTTTACTAAAAATATTTAAACAACTCACATTTTCCTACCTTCATCATTAGACACCTCACATCCAATGGAGAAACACTCTTCAATTTCCTTGACATTTAAGGGGTACTTAGCCAAAATTGTTGACTTTAATCATAGGTTCGCACTTTCCTGGAAATTTCCTAGCCTCCCCTCTTCCTATACGACGTAAATTTGCTGCGGAAAAGATGTGAACTACACTCGATTGCTTTTCTTGAAGAAATTTTGCTTACCCACCATGTGTTTGTTGTTTTGTCCGCTTCGATAGTATCCATTCAAGCTAACAAATTACATGGGATTTGTGAACTGATTCCTGGTGGGGTTAAGTGGCTTTGTCTGGAGTTCAATGGAGTATCTATACTCATTCTTTTGAGCGAAGATTCAATTAACTTCGTGTTCTTGGTTACTCAACAACATCATCGATAATAAAAATGGGCAATGCTAATAATCCGCAGGTGTTAGGATTCAATCCCCGTATTGAAGTGAGTTCTACTCTTTTTTCCTCATTTTGACCATGACCATTGATCTTATAAAGACCATATCCATAGTCTATCATAAGACCAAGAACCTTATGAGTTTCTCTAACACCAAACATTCTCACAGATGGGCTCGCTAGAGGTGAAGTCAATTATCGAGCCACATGATCAGAGCACATCCACTTCCGCATCAACCAATAGAAATATGCTTTTTATGAAACAGTTTTCAGAAAATTGTGACAAAAAACAACTATGGTGTAAAGTGATAACCAGCATAAAGATTGCTTTATTCTCTAATAAGATTAATTTACTTATACCTTTTGGCCCCTTAGCTATGCTTGTTGATACCTTGACTGGTAATCATGTAAGTTACTTATATTCGTGATACCCTTTTAACTTTTAAGCCTATTCTGTATTAATTCTATCTTTTATATATATATATATATATATATATATTATATATATATATATATATATATATATATATATCAGGGTTGGGTCTTCTTCTTGAGCTTATTGGGCATCATACCATTGGCAGAACGTTTGGGTTGGGCTACCGAGTAATGATCTTTTTCATCTTTATTTTAAAAAATTCAATAAAACAATAAACTCTAAGATGAACATAATCAAATACGAAAGTAATTTTTGATAACGATTTTGATCAATGCAATTAGTACTCAACTTAGATCATGTTTTGGCTTCTTTTTTCTGCAGGCAATTGGCTTTCTACACCGGGCCTACAGGTTTGTTCATTGATTCGATAGCTTGACATTGTTGTTGACTTAACGAAAACAAAGATCGTTTTCAATACAAAGAAAAAGTTAATAATACTTCAATTGCAGTTGGGGGACTTCTGAATGCTACTTTTGGCAATGCGACAGAGTTGATAATATCAATGTACGCAATGAAACATGGTATGCTACGAGTTGTACAACAATCATTACTAGGGTCAATTTTGTCAAACATGTTGCTTGTTCTTGGATGCGCGTTTTTCTGTGGAGGGATCTTTCTTCCTAAAAAGGAACAGGTTTTTGACAAGGTAAGTTAATTAACAAAACGAGGTCAAAGTTACTTTTCTTGAATCCTTTCAACATACTTGGATTTTTGATGAATACCAATTTGTTTGCAGTCGAATGCTGTGATGAGCTCAGGATTGCTGTTAATGGCAGTGATGGGTCTGTTATTCCCTGCTGTTCTTCACTTCACACACACTGAATTGCATTTTGGAAAGTCAGAATTGGCCCTTTCAAGATTTAGCAGTTGTGTGATGCTTATTGCATATGGGGCCTACCTGTTTTTTCAATTGACTACACAGAAGACTTCATATTCGCCAATCACTGAGGTTGTTGATTGGCATTTATACACTCTCCTTTTAGAAGAAAGCATATACTATAGTAATAAAACGAAGCAAAATATTCAGCAAAGTCCCTATATTATGGGCTCATTAACAATTAAGCCATGACTTTCCCTTTTTTTGAACATTAAAGGACAAAAGAGAGAATACATTAAGATTATATGCTCTTTATTAGAAAGAGAGAATACATTAAGATAATATCATGTAAGATGTCAGACAGAAACAGTAAGATAATAATCTGTCGTTTTATCTATATAAACACATTATTTTTCTAACATTGATTTAGAAATATCAGGAAGATAGCCCAAAAGAAGACAATTCAGATGATGATGATGATAAAGAATCTCCTGATATTTCAAAGTATGAATGTGTTATTTGGCTCAGCATCTTGACACTCTTCATTTCCATTCTTTCAGAATATCTAGTCAACACCATTGAGGTATCCGAATAATTATCTTAAACTAATAATCAACGAACCTATTTTCTAAAATATAGACATGGAAATGATTTCCATTTATAGGGTGCATCTGTTGCAATGAATATCCCTATAGCATTTATCAGTGTTATCCTTCTTCCTATTGTTGGAAATGCAGCAGAACATGCAAGTGCCATCATGTTTGCCATGAAAGACAAGCTTGTAAGCTATTAGTCATTACAAGAATCATAATTCATTTTTATTTATTTATTTTTTAAATATTTTTGGTTACAATCTTTGCAGGATATCTCTTTAGGAGTCGCAATTGGCTCCTCAACACAAATATCTATGTTTGCTGTAAGTGTTTCTTTCTTTGTATATTAAAAGAAATTTTAATTTAAAGAACAAATACCAACTTTTATTTTAAAATTTGTGTGTTTGTAACTGCAGATTCCATTTTGTGTGGTTGTTGGGTGGATCATGGGGCGTCCTTTGGACCTAAATTTTCAACTTTTTGAGACAGCAACTCTTTTTATAACAGTTCTGGTAGTGGCTTTCATGTTGCAAGTAAGCCTCATATTTATATTTTTTTACAAAACTTTGACTAAATTAAAATTTTCATTTAAAAATGGTTCTTTTATATATATGTAGGATGGAACATCGAATTACTTCAAGGGAGTAATGCTTGTGTTTTGCTATTTGATAGTTGCTGCAAGTTTCTTTGTACATATAGACCCTCTATCTATACGTAAGTTATAGGCATCTTCTCTTTCATTTGACTTTTTGACTAGACCTTTTTTCTTCTACATTTTTTATGGAAGTGGCTTTTGTCTCTGGTTTTGCAGAAGATAAACCTTAAAAGCTTTGAATCCATCATCAAGAGTTTCAAGTCAATTGTATGTTACTACTACTGTGTGATGTAAATTGTTACAGAAGAGAATAATGATAAAGATTTTGAACAGGAGTAAAATACATGTTACACTTAAAAGGGAACCAACCCCCTTTTCCCACTAATTGTTATTCATATAAATAATATTTCTTTACAAAAGAATTGGCATTTCACATATAAACATATAAAACAAGAGAGCATTGCTATTAAAAATACAAGTAGGTGGAAGTATCTGTTGCATTGTTACTATCCCTGCACAGAATAGATCTTGCTTCCACAATTGAGCGAGGTGGTTCAAGATCTTTCTCTTGCAGTGCATTTCCTTGCAATCGTTGCATCTGGGAAGCAAATGTATCATCCAAAACCTACAAAAAAGTTCCTTTCTATGTCAGACATTTTATCAAACACTTGGCGTGCAACAAACAAAATTCAGATAACTTACTCCAAGAGCATAATAAGATCCGTTGTACCAGACACGGTTTTCCTTTCTTCCTTCCAGAAACTTCAGTACAATCTGTAAGTCATACAACATTCTTGTTAAAAAACATATGATTTTTTTAATAAAAAGATCTCAATCAATCTCACCTGTCCCATTTTGTCCCATAACCCACGACAACTAGCAATGAATATTTGATTTGTAAAAACCTCATGCAAGTTGGATACAGATTCCACAAGCTGTGAACACAAAAGTTGCATCCTGTCTCTCACTTCAGCCTCTCCATCTGCTTCCTTTGTTTCCTCCAAAATTCTTTGAAGTCTTGTGCTTCGACTTGCTTGCATCTGTGTAATTAATCAACACAGTAATTACAACTTACAAGATACAACTCTTGATTGATTAATGATTGTATGTTATGGTTATTACTTATTACTTACATTACTAGTGAGTTTAACCACTATAGCTTGCATGTAGTTTTTATACTTTGTTCTAAATAACACAGTAACTGCATTCATTTGCTCTCCATAAGTTGACTTCTTGTCCCCTCCATTGACCGGAAGATAACACGCCCATGACTTCAATTTATCTTCAACTCTACAATGCAAAACATCAAGAACTCTCTTGATGGTGTTTAAAAAAGTTCCCAACTGATTAGGAATTGAATACAAGGCTGTTGATTGTCTCCTTGTTAGTTTCTGAACTTGAATCCCAAGCCTCTTTGGAATACTATCTTTCAAAGGTGTCAAAATATCCGCATACTGTCTCTCAAGTGCTTTCATAATTGCTCTTTCCACATTCGCAACAGCCTTTCAAATGTCAACAAAAAACATTTACAATCACAACATTAACATCAAGACTAAAATACACAAATCTGATACAGTTATAAACTTACATTCTCCAAGATCAAAGTGTATTGTGGCCATCGATTGATCACAACTTCATACTCACTCAACATTTCTTTAATTTTATCATATAAATCTTCAGCAAATGGTGAAGTGGAATAGTTTGTGATCACACCACCCCATGGGGCTTTTTCTGCTTTGCATAAATCAAGTAAGCAAAGTTGCATATCTTGAACCCAAACCATAATGTAATTATGGTACAAGTTTCTCGAGTCTACACCACCTTGAGGTACACTGAAAAGCAAAAAAAAAGAAAATCAACAATCTTTTTCAGTATTTTGATACATGATTTGAGGAAATGAAGTTTAATAATCCAACATACCTGATGTTCCATGACTCAAGATTCCTCTCAAAGTCTGCAGTTGCTATAAGAAGTTCATTGACATGAGGTTGGGGACTTGAAGGAGGCCATGCTGCAAGAAACCCTTTAACCCTTTTACATAACTCACTGCTGTAAACAGCTGCTGTGATGCTTGAGAGATCAATAGAGCTGAAAAAAAAAAAGGTATTATTCTTTTTTACTACAAGCTACAAAACATTACAATTTTTTTTTTTGCAAGTTATGCATGTACCTTGGAAGTATGTGTTGATTATGTATTTTGATGTCTGTCTTTATCTCATCACTTAAGTTTATGCACAAATTCTTCATTTTCAAATAAGCTGTAGTAATTGCAATAGAGTCCATAAGAAAGCCCTCAGTGTTGCTTGCTACAAACTCATCAGTGTCCACCATGTATTTCCTGCACCTCTTTCTTGCTGCTGCCTGTATAAAGTAAAAACACAAAAGTCTTTAAAGTTTAAACAAACAAGAAAATATATTCATCACTACACTATATATTATGAACCATTAATTATACGATTTCTCCACCTGTAAATAGTTGGTCAACAAAGTTTGACCATCTGGAGAGAGGATATCATGAATAAGAGTATATAATTGAACAGCTGGCGCTAATGCTGGTGAAGCAGATTCTGGAATTGGAATCAACATGTCTGATAAACCTGTTGAAGAGCTCTCATCTAATGACTTGTAATTTTGGAAAGAAAGTGCAAGAAGACTCTCCATTTGCGTTTCACAGTCCAATAACAAGCTTTTCTGCAAAATGATAATAAAACGTACCCAAAAGTACATTTTAGATAAAAAAAGTCACTGGATTAAAAGAACATTTTAGGGTTTTTCTTACCTCTTGTCTTGTGAGTCTTCTTTCAGTTCTAGCTTTCATAACGGGTACAAGTAGTTCATAAATGAGCTCTAAGCAATCCTTTGTAGGCGTAGCAACGTTCATGACATGTGAAAGATGCCTAAACAACAAAGTTTTAGTAAAAGTGAAAAAACTATATATAGAAAAGTTTCATTATTATTAATAATCAAGAAAAATTTAAGTACCTGAGTTTGGTGTATGATTCTGAGACTCCATAATAATCAGCAAACTCTGTGAGTAACCATTTCCAAGGTTCAACTACCCACAAGTTACGTGCATGGAAACATTGTGCTCGCATGGCAGCTTCCAATAGTAAATCATACGCGAGTGTTTCCACAACAGGTCCACACTGTGATTTTAATATAAAATTATAAAACAAATTAAAAACACAAATCAACATTCGTGAACAACTAATTTTATTTCATTATTTCAAACCTTGAGGTGTGTAGTTTCATCAGATGCAATTGTACTGCTGATTGAAAGCTGGACTTTCCCGATACATTCATTCTCTTCATAATAAATCGGCCACCATTTGATTCTATCATTCTGTTTACAAAGAAATGTGTTTAGAATTTTATACTTATAAAAAAAGCAAAATACGTTGCTTTTTCCTACAATTTGTCCTATGTTAGACGCTCAAAACACTTACAGGATTGTCATGTAGAGACGAAACTGGAATAACTGCTCGACCCTGAATGCTCCTTTTCTCCCCTTGAACTTCTACTAAAAGGGCATCTCCTTGGTTCTCTGGGAAACTATATAATATATATATATATATATAACATTATTAAGATCATATTTGAGTACCCTTTTAAAAGTTATACAAGAGTTAACAATATAATAGAAGCTTACAAATCATGGGAATCACCGGTTCCGGGCCTCAGGCAAATGCCTAAAGCCGATTCCGATTCTGTAAGTTCTTGAGAACTTTTTAGGTGCAACAAGCATGCCACTGGTTCTGCAACATGACAACATCTTTTTTTTATTAAAAGAAAAACATAAAATGTCTAATTTCATTAGATTTTTAGGATAAAAAAAACACCAAACAAACCTTCACATGAAAAAGAAGAGATTCCCAATGCATTGATTTTGCTTTTTACAAGTGAAGAAACATGTTTAATATACTCGACTCCTGCTTGCACATAAATAGCACTTTGTTGAGAGTATGTGTCTTTAAGTTTTCGTTGTGGGATTATTCTTATCTTTTTCACTGCCAAATCCATACGCAAATTCAGTCAATTATAAGTAATAAGATACAAATTCTTTTTTATAAGTAAAAGAAACCATATATATACCTTCAACCCTAATTTTTCCAATCACTTTCTTTACTTTCAAGGGGCATGCGTTATTATTATTATCTGGATTCTCAGTTCCATTACTCGGTTTGAAACCTCGAGGTTGCAATAATAACTTTTGTAGTCTAAAAAAGAAGCAAAAACAAAACCATTAATTATAAGCCTTGCAAATTGCAATTAATATTGAAATTGACAAAAAGAATAAAATAAGATATGTACCCAAAAGCATTGCGAAGAAGGCGACATTCATCATTTAAGAACAAAGGTGCTTCTGTACACCCTCTTGCCCATGCGTTTAAGCATAACCGAAAACACGCATCATAAGTAATTAAAGTTTGCCATGGATTTTGACCACTGTTAAAAGAAGCATACATTTTTGTTAGTTATACTTTAAACAAGAACATGAATGAATGTAATTTATATAAAGCAATGATAATTAACTGATAATACCTGTTATAATAAGTTAAATGATCTAGTGAGCTTGCTGTTTTTTCATGAATGGCTTCATGCTCCCTGTCACTAACACAAGATTCCAGTTTCACATGAACATTTTCTGGCATATTTACTTCATGGTGTGATTGATCAATTCCTGAAATCCGTGAAGATTCTTTACTTGATTCATCTTCAACCTCGGGAATGTGTTCTTCAAAGATTGGAGGTGCACTTGGAGTTCCCAAATCAGCTATAGGTGTACCCTATACATTTTTATCACTAAACGTCAACAAAATAAACTTTTATAAACTTATAGATTGTATGAAATTTTATATAAACTTGCTTACATAGGCACTACGAGGTTGTAACATATCACGCAAACGATTGGCAGCTGAAAGGGAACTGGGCCCACCATGCAATCCAGTTTCGGTGAGTTTTCTGGGTTTTTGAGGTACTTCGATACAAAGATCGTCTTTTATTATCCCTCTGTTTAAAGTAGACTTGTTAGGTGGAAGTGTAACTGGATTGACATTCAGGATTTGTTCATCGAAGGTTTCTTCATCGGAATAAGTTAAGTCCATGTCATCTGAAGCAGATCCGACACTCTCATCATCATGTTCATGTTCATGTTCGTGTTCATCATCATCATCATCACAATAATCATCATCATCGTCTTCTTCATAATCGTTGGTTTCAAGATTATGACATCCAAGTATGCTAGAATAGAATTTAAGGGGTGGGAGTAGATTCGAGGATTTGTAAGTTGTGGAATTAAACGAAAGTGGGGATTTAGGAATAATTGGGTATTCGTGATCTATTGAAGTCTCTCTTAAAGGTGAACGCGTCTCTTGCTCTTTCTGTAACCCCTGTTAGAACCATATGATTGTTATGAACACAACATTCCATAAAATTCAGTTTTCCAACTTAATCGAAAAGGAATTACAATGAAAAATGCAAAGCAACTATTATAAACCAACACAAACTTGATGAAAATCATTCTTGATTTCAAAATCGAGAGTTGAAGTGCGTACCTGTTTAACCCAGTTCAGTGCCCTTTCGTCTAATCCCTCTGTGAACATGTTTATGGAGAGAGAGAGAGAGAGAGAGAGAGAGAGAGAGAGAGAGAGAGAGAGAGAGAGAGAGAGAAAGAAGAAGAAGAAGAAGAAGAAGAAGAAGAAGAAACGATGAGAATGTGATGTGTGTTTTAGCAGATGAGTCGAGTTCTTGATGGGTGATGAAGATGAGAGAGAAGACAAAGTGAAGAGCGTTTCAGGCTTTCAGCTTGTAAGTTGTAACGGCTAGTTTGAAAAAAGTGGCTTCATTCATTAGTTGTTTAATGGCTTATAGTTTCATTTTCGCCCTTCTACTTTTAAATATGTCACCGACATCCTCTATTCGTATACTAAATTACTAATGCCCAATTACAGACTATGATAGTGAATAGTGATGGTTTGGATTATTTTTATATATTTAAAAACAAACATTCGTTGGCTTGTTGACAAAGCTGACAACGTTATGGTTTAAATACTGAAAAAAAGTTTGAATAAAATTATTAAACCAGGTGTTAATTACATTAGAAAATGGTAAGATTGTATCTGTATTTTATTTTATTAGTTGACATTAATACTTTAGAGAAAATTACATTTTTGGTCCTTATTATTTGGTTGTTTTCTTGAATTATGTCCACTTTTTATAGATGTAACAGTGACCATTGACTTTAAACAAAATTACATCATTGGTCCCTGTGGTTTGTAAGAATCGGTAGGTTGAGGCCAACTATCACTGCTACATGGTTTGTAAGAATTGGTAGGGTGAGACCAATTCTTTTTTTTATTTTCAGAAAAAGGACAGGAGCATTTTAATAGCCAAGACCTTGACTAAAAATCAACATATAAACCACATTTTTCATAAACATCATAAATAGAATGAAACTTAGGGTTTAGCTTTCAATCTTAACCCCTTAAGCACTTAATCGATCGTTACAAGGGTTGAATAAGAGCCACAAATTATCCACCATGAAGTGATGGTGGCTTCGTGGTGCAATGGTGATCAAAACTTCCCACAATATTGTGTTACTCTAAAAAGGGAAAGAAAGAGAAAGATACCTAGCTACTCATCTAAAGCCATGGGGTTTGGAAAAACAACCAAAACTTCCTTCCCTTTCTTGCTTCCCTCTTGCACCCCCACCATTTCTTATCCAACATTAGATCTTTATCATCATATTTTGGAGGCATGCACACCTCAATCTAATGGGGTCGTTGGGAGGAAAAAACATACTCTTCAAGAAATGAGTTGGAAAGTGTTAAATAGTAAGATTCAGTGGGGATGATTGCATCTGTCATGCATACCTGTAACACCAAATTAAGAAGCATGGTGGCATGACAAGGATCTGATGGAGGTTTAATTAGGGGGTGATCTTCTCAGCAGGCAATTGCAATCCAGAGCGTATGTATGAGTAACTATAGTGTAAGACAAAAAATCCATAATGTATAACAAGAGGTTTAATTGGTCTGGTATTTAAAATAGTGTATTATTGCTGTTTTCAGCTTATAAGCTTTTAGAATCGATGCCCATAACAGAAGGCCTCCAAGTCCACATGTTAGACCATCTATCTGACTTATAGTAGTTACTTACATCTACAATCTAAACAATTGGTTAATGGGAATTTAGAAATCACAGCAGTAGTTACTAGTTACTGGAAACCACAGCTAACTGACCACGAAAATAACACTTTCAAAACTGGATTGGAAGGGTGCGCCTGGCCTTGGCAGTAGTGTAAGACCAAGGCGACGCATGAAATACCCCAGCAGCAAGCTACTGTAACGGGCCTTCCCCATAAAAAATAAGATTAATATCGAGTGGGCCGATGGCCCACATATCAGATATTAAACTGATAAGAACAGATACTACACTTGATCTTAGCCAAAAGGCCGAGAAAGGTATGCTTCTTAAAGCCGTGGGCTTCCCCTTTTGTACTCGCCTCCCTGTTGCCTGCTTTCTTCATTCACCCGATGTGGGATGCTGTGCTCCCTCTACTTTTACTTTCCTAGTTATTATATATTCAAATACAAACTTATACCATATCTCTCTTATAATAATGTACTACTTCATGGAGATACTCTATATTACGGCTCTCCATTTGCCTATAGCCTATATATTTTATCACCATCATATTTTAACTACAATGAAAATTGATCAAATGAGTCCAGTAGTCCACGCCTCATCTGTATCTTTTATTATTATACATGTACACAACCTTTTAAATTTTACATAGTTCTAATAATCATATTCAAAACATTAACTATTCATAAAACCGATATTACAATCACACGTTTGCAACAAATAATCATTAATAATTATTGACTCCTTACCCAAATACTATCACGTGTTTCTTTTCCCACGACGTTAATGCCATTTATGTTACATAAATTCATAAAATTCGACAAAAATGCTATAGCTTATACAAGTATGAGACCCTTTGTATGCAAATCTATGAAATCCTATGTGCTTTATATTCCTTACATAAATAACTAGCCTGGAAAAACGACTTTAATACCATTCTAGTTGTATTGAATGGTGTGGACTAACCCAAATGAATTGATATGCTTGAAAGTTATGTATCAAAATATAAATACACGGGATAAAAAATAGCCATTTTGTGTACAAATTGTAAAACTAATAACATTTACTTGCCTGGTATGGAATGTTTTAAATTTTTGTACCAAATAAAAAAACGATTCAAAACCTTTTTTTGCTGTCCTAGAAAAATCTTGAAACAAAAAAGAGTCATCTTGAGCAATAAACTCAAAAGCTTAAGGACCTACAAAATTTAGCTTTGTGACTAAGTTTTATGAGTCGTCTAAGGGGTGTGATGTGATTTACTCTACAACATTCTCTATGTGAATTAGATAGGCAGCTTGAAGTGTATATGCGAAGTAAGGAAACTAAGGGATAGTGACACCATAAACACGAGTCGGATAAGCTTTAGTAACTAACTATAAATACTCATATTGGGCACCGTAAACTGGATTTTTATAAGAAAATAAAAATTAAGTGTCGTGTTCGAATCAACATAGTTTGTAAGTGTGCTATTATAAAGCACACAAAGGGTATTAAGCAAAATACCCAAGTGTAGTTAGGAAATTACGATTGCTTGCAATACAAAAATATATCTATGATTAAAATCTGAAAAAAAAATGCAAAAAAGGAATAACCGACAGCAAAGCGATGTCCCACGTTAGCAAAGATGCTACGAAAACAAATACAAAGAGCTAATAGCTAACATATGATTTGGTGCATAAGCTACCCAATTCAAATTTAACATGTAGTTTCTATTCGACAACAAAAATAGAGGCCAGGAAACTATGTAATCCACCAAGTCCGCTTTCTTTGGCTTTATTCTAAAAATCAAATTGTTGCGATTGTCCGTCCTACTACAACATGACGTGTTAAGAACCGTGTCAAAGCATTGTTTTTTGGATCCGATAACCCTAAAATTATCCAAACAATTGAAACATTCTCATGCCATGCATATCCAACTCCCACACATGGAGAAATATGAGTCCAGATAGCAATCTAGCAATCGAGACCAGACAACTCGAAAAAATATGTTCCAAAAACCGATTCAAGCAAAGTTAACCTACCACCCACCGTCAACATTTGCACCTTCCAATTGGAAAGTTTTGCCGTGAACTTTCCAATCACATCCTTCCACCAATCAACACACGTAATTTTAGCACCAATCGGGGTACAAAAATAGATAGTTTTAAAGCCCCACGTCTAATAAAATCAGACATGTCTTATACATTTTGAAACCCAGCTCAAACTCACGCTAAGTTACTTTTTATAACTTAATTTTCAGTCGGACAACTAGAAAAAAAACATTGCAAACGACGCACAATACTCCATGCATTCTCGTTGGACCATTTCCCTAAAAATATGATGTCGTACACATAAAAAATAAAAGAGACATGTGAATATCTCAAACTCGAATTCACATGCCTCTCGAGGAAGTATATATCTTTTTTTTTACCACCACATGTAAACCTGCCATAGTGACAATAAAAATGAACTTAGATAAAGGATAGCCTTGTCTAAGTTCCCCTTAACATGGAACTCTTTCATAGGCGAACCGGTTACCAAAATCAAGGCCATAGATAACTCCAAACAAGACATAATTCACGTTTGTCGTCTCATACAAAAACTCTTTTTTCATTACTTCATCAAAGAAATACCAACATAAGGAGTTTTAGGCTTTGTCAACGTCGACTTTAAAAATCATAAGCTTTTTTCATCTTTTTGCATCATGTTGTGATTTCGTTCAATATAAGCGGACCATCCATGATTTGGCGACCTATGATAAAAGCCAATTGTTTGATGCTAATAACTCTATCAATAACATTAGTGATTCTATTTGCTAGCAATTTACCGATTATCTTATAAAGACCTCCAATAAGACTTATGGGTGTAAGACCATTCAATAACTTTTAGCGATTAAATTTTGGAATGAAAGTTATAAACGTCGGGTTACAACCCCTGAGAATGGTGATTCTTTTTGGAAGAAGTGTACTATAGCATTGGGAACATTTTCAAGTATGTTCCAATGCTTTTTAAAAAAGTCAAAAGTAAACTCGTCGGCCCCAAGAGCTTACTCACTTAATTCCACACGACTCTTTTAATCTCATATTTAGCAAAATCTATCACTGATCCTTTAATATGATAGATTTTCGATCACATGCAAGTAAGTCCCAATACTTTTTTATAAAGTCAAAAGTAGTCGAAAGTAAACCCGTCGTCCTCAAGAGCTTACTCACTTAATTCCGTACAACTCTTTAAATCTCATATCTAGCAAAATCTATCACTGACCCTTGAATGTGATCGGTGTTCGATCACATTCAAGTAAGTTCCAATACTTTTTGATAAAGTCAAAAGTAAACTCGTCAACCTGAAGAGCTTACTCACTTAATTCCACACAATTTTTTTAATCTCGTATGTAGCAAAATCTATCACCGATCCTTGAATGTGATCGATGTTCGATGTTTTGAAAAATCAAAGTTTGTTCTTAGCCTAACCGGATGAAAAGTGTTGAAT